ACACACACACACACACACACACACACACACACACACACACACATCATATATATATATATATATATATATACTGAACTTTATATACAACATTACCATGCACTTACAACTACAAGAGGAACTACACAAAACTGAATTAACAAATTGACCATATAATGTACACATAACAAGAAAGAAAGAAAAGATGTAGAAGTGCATATACATGCATTTATAGCAAAACACTTTAACATTGGTAAATACAGAGATTAATCACATGAGCATAAACAAACTGGAAAACAAATACACAAAAGGAATAAACTGTTTATACCATTAATAACAATATTCTATTTAGATTATAATTTACACTTAGGGTAACCTAAGGTAGGAGCTCTCACCTTATTTCTTACTTGATAGTACACATACTGTATCACTGTACATCATTTGCTGAAAGTAGTGTTCTAGCATATAATTTTCTTGACCTTTTCCAGAGCCAACCCTGCATGAAGTTGTTGAACTTGTCCCAATCACAATGGAAATTCTAGACTTCTCCACAGCGTATCCTTTTTTTTTTTTGGTTGTTCAAGGCCCAGGCCTTAATCCATTTAGCAGCTTGTTTCTAGTAATGCCTTTTATTTGCTAAAATCTAATCTAGTGTTGGTTGAATGATGATGGTCATAGGTGGGATACTTGAAGAGCTCTGACTGCAGCTGCACCTGAAAGGTATTATTTGAAGATGTAGGAAATAGTAGTGAGAGAGAATTTTAATTTTTATGTTGAAATATTTGGCAGGTGGTGAATTTTCATGGAAGAATACTAGTTACAAGGCAACTCACACTTTATCTGAGAGAAAACTGTTTTATCTGTTGTTCTTTGGTAAGGATAATGAATTAAAGATATTTCAGTATGTGAAATTTACACAAAGTAGCTTGAATACCATATCAAATGTAAACTTGGCATACACTGTGCGATATTTCCTGTAGTGGAATACTTTCAACCGTGCAATTTGAAATATTTTATAATTACACGTTTTTAATGAATATTTTTAACATTGTTTCAATAAAAGGTACATCAAAGATTCATGAAAATGCAGGCTGAGTGTGTGCTATTAGGAGGCTGAAAGTAACACCTGCATGGAGAAACTTGTTTATTTACACCTATATAGTACTAAACTTGTATCTAGAAGATGTCCAGAGGGAGAGATGATGTAAGTTTTAACTGATTTTCACTTGTGTGTAGCAACCAATTTCTACAGTCTCAACTACCCATTTCTTTCATACTGGAACCTGGACCTCTGTTTGTGTAACAACAAGACAGTAGTGAAAGAAATGGGACTGGATCAGAGGGTATGGGAATAAGCCTAGTGGACTGAGCTGTCCACGGGTGTTAGAAATACATATTCTACAGGTGATATAAGGTATGAAAACACAAAAAAGTCTGTAGAATTATTGCTTGGCCAAGGTGATAGTTTTATTACTCTGTGTCTAAAGTGTAATTTTAGACCATGGGATGTTTTTAACTGGATAGTTACATCATTTTCACAACCTACATACCTAATTGAACTTTTGACCAACTGGAATTTGTTTAACCTCACATTTTCAGTCCTGGTTTTTGCTATTAAAGAGCAAATTCTTAACCCTTCTAGCTATCTTGTTTTCACAGCTAGCCATTTGTGTTGGTATTCAGTTTTGCTTTACCCAATAAGTTGATTTAAACCACTGCATAATAGTGAAACTTTTAAAATCACTATGCCCAGGACTTCATTGCTATGTTTGTCATTTCTTATCTAGCCTATTGAACCTTGATATCAAGTAAAAGGCCTTATCAGCATTGAATATGGTAGAATATGTTGACATATTACAACATATTCTTCTCATAATTTTCAGAATTCCTGTCTAGTGATGGGGAGGACTTAGACTCAATGACCACTCCTAAGGTGCCCAAAGCCAGTCTGGTTCAAGGTTTGGCAGAGCCTGTGGACAAAGTTGCACTGTTTAGTGAGGCATCAAATGCTCAGGCTCTCATTGAGTCTATGGACAAACTTGCTCTCAAGCCTTTTGGGACTGAGCATCTTCCTTCAGCTATTTTTTAACCAGTGAGAGTGATGTCACCAAATATAGATCCAGCTACAGTGGACCCTATTTTGCCAGCACCGCTACACCAGTGGAACTCAACCTTCAAACAACTCAGCCTCAATTTGCCACTCCCACTGGCTACTCCAGTACAGGTTAAAGAGAAAACAACCTAGCCACCAACTGGATGTCTGTTCCAGCCAGTAAGGTGTCCTGTCATATAATGAACTCCTACCAAATGGCATATGTGCCACATGTTTACTCACTTCCAATGGAACCACTTCATACCATTACCAAAAAAACCTTTCCAGATCTAAGGTTTTCCTGAGTGTCAGAGGGACTGAGGGCTGAACCACCAGTGTTCACTGCAACACCAGCTTCTGGGATCCTGCAAGTGAAACTGAGTAGCTCAATTTAGATGCCATCCAGACCACCACTTATGCACATAAGGTTAATGTTTAACAATTCAGTCTAACTATGATAATCAAGTGGCATCACAAAATGTAGTGTGTATATAAATTTTTTCATGAAATACTACCCAACAGCTCCAAAAAGCAAGAAATGCAACTTTTTCAGTCATTGATATAATAATCACTGACTGTCCTAATTGCTGGTAACTTAGTGAAGCTCAGGAGGTAATCACCATTGTCTCAGCTGTGATGTTGCTCCTCCTCATCAAAACACTTGATTGAATCAAACATGGAACCATACAGATTCAGCAGCATCTTTTACACTGGTCATCCTTGAATCTGTTCATTAAAAGACTTATCTCAACTGTTTAAGGAAGTGTTACATATCTTCCATGGCTACACTCTTGAACATTGGTGTCAAATCTTCTTAGCCTAGCTCACAGGGACCTGTGATTGTGCTACAAGTCTTTCTATCACAGATTCTCTGCCAATACGATGTTGAGAGGTTTCAAATGTCCGGCTTGTATAGGGACTCTTATACTCATATGAATGTTAGATCCCTGTCATCAGACTAAGAAATGGAGAATTACCAGAGCTTGTGCTTTGGTTCTGCACTGCAAGTATACCCCATGCATAGAGAAGCTCTGCAGGGCCCTACAGATCACTACATTCACTATGTCATGCCTACTGTCCCATGTGCTGGCAGACAGTGTCCAGTGCAGGGGCTGATACATTCTAGTTGGTAAATATCTGGAAGTCCTGTAGAGACTACCTCATTTAGTCTGACTCTCCAGAACAGACACCACCACATTAATACTAAGTTGCCCATTCCTCCTGTACACAGAAGTTAAAACATCATGGAAAGAATGTGATTAACTGTTCTGGGTACTTTAACTTCCAGCAGTTTTCCTTCCTGGGTCTATTGTGTCATTGAAAAAGTCATGTAGTGTCTCCATATTGGCAAAATGTCAATATCAAGGAGTAACTTCTTTTAAACTCAACAACTCTCTTTACAACAGTCATCACTCCATATCCCTAACTCTTCCTCCTGGTTATTCAGTTCATGGAAAATTCCATCTCATTAAGTTTAAAGCTTCAACTCAAAAACATAAGAGTTGAGAAGAGTACAATTAAATACAATCCTCAATAAAGAAACAGATGTTCCACAAAAACAAATCCTGTGGTCACAGCATCAAATTTTTTCCTTCCTGTCTACTCGGTAGTATTCTCAGATTCCCTTTGAATAATCAGATAGGAGCAACAGAATAAGAGGAGGCTTGCCAGAAAATGTTTTATTGAGTGAAATCTTAAGTATTTTAACCTCGATTGAGTTTAAAGCAACGAAAGAGACTGAAAAGAAGTTAAACACAGTGAAACAATATTTATCTCACACATTTAAAAACAATCAAAGGCATAAACAAGCATACTATTTTGGCGGCTTTACTGGAGAGCTGAAATATCATCAAGTCTGTCTGAAGCAAAATCTAATCATATCTCTCATTTATATTCTGATACTTTTCCCTTTATAAATAAAAACCAAATTTAAAAACACTAACAATGGTAAGAGACAATGGCTATATACGGAACTAGATTCCCCGATTAAAAGAGAACATTAGTAAAGGACAAAAGAAACTTTATCCCAGACCTAATTACAGTATGTAATATTACAAATTTGAATGGCAAACAACAGAAATGAAGTTAACACTTTATACCAGGTTCCAGTGGAAACTGCATTTATTAGGATGAGGATGTCTGTCACACCTTGATGTGCCTCATGGCTTCACTGGAAAAAACCATTGATGAACCTATCCTCTTGATCTGTGGATACCATTACCAGGTAGGCCTTGCTGTGCAATCAGCACAGATCATCCATGTAGGCTGCCAGTTCTCTTCAAAGCCTTGAATCTTGTTCGTTGGATCACCTGATCTTCCATTGGTTCAAATTAGCAACACAGTTTGCATATGACCATTTCCCAATCATGTTACTCTTCATCCATATGTTATATGGCATCCAAAGAAAGGCCATCCAAACTGAGTCTATCTATTCCAGTCATTTACCTGCCTTAAATGTTTTAGGGTCTCTTTTGTTTTTCTCTTAAACATTGGGGGTAAAATCTGATTTGCTTCTCTCAAGGGACCTGTGGTGCAGACCAAAGCCTCTCCCTTGCAAGTTCTCAGCCAGGGCAGCAGGAAGATGAGTTACTCACAGCAACCCCTTATATAGCCCTGCATGATCCTAGGTGTCATTATGAGTCATAGTTGACATTGTGGGATACCTCTTGGTCTAAAGAGGCTCACCGTTTCATGGTTTGTAATCTTTATGTAACGATGCTTACTGCCTCATCTGCCAAAGAAACAGTTTGACTAGTGGAGGTCATCCAACAGTGGCATGTCCAGTGCTTCTCAGCTGGTTGTTGGTGACCTGGACCAAAGCTACATACATATATGATTTATTGAATTAATTGTTTAGAGGAAAATAATCATTTTTTTATTTGCTTATTTTTTTCAGGAAACTGTGTCATTATTCAATGGAAAATATTGGTTACGAGGTGTAGTGAAAGGTGATAGCATGCTGATTGTTAATAAACTTAAGGTAAGAGATTTGTCAGTTTCGTACATTTCATAAACATGGTAGTTCTGTTTAGGTTAGTTATTCAGTTTAATTAATGTCACAGATGCTGTACTTATGACTACGTAGCTATGTCACTTGTGAACCACTTAAATTGTTGCATTTTTAAGTTGCCATTTTGTATTCTTCACAACTAAATTTTACTTCAGTTACTATACATTACATTTAAGTTACATTATTATTTATAAGAAGTTCTAAACAGCACATTTAAAGCTGAGTAACAGAATTAACAATAAACACTAAATGGAATATCTTGTTATAGAAAACAAATGCAAATTCAGATAATGTTTTCTTTATTGCATTAGTTAAATACAGTGATTAAGAATATATATTCTTTCTTTATCTATTGGACTTTATTTATGATTGAAAGTTGTTTTGTTTGTATACAGATTGAAAGCAGACGTTTCAGGGTACAGTTTTATTCTGATATTGGAAGATCTGCTATAGAACAATGTGAAGACTGCGTTAAAATACTTTCAAACCACATTCCTTTCAAATACAATTTACTCAGTCCCTTCAGTCAACCTCCATCTATCAAACCTCAGGAAAGTTTTAATAATTACCTTTTCAATTTTACATTGCAGGCATTAATGTGAAATAGTCTGATATAAATTATTAAGCATCCTTGAATAGTTAGGACTTCTTGAGAAGCATAGAAAATTTAAAATAATGAATAACACACAAGATTAAAATTGGTACACAATTAAAAAACAATTTTTAATTTAGGCCAATCTGTGGTCTTCAAAAAGTTGTCTCTAATATTTTTGTGTGCCAAATTTAACTTTGTGTGTTATTATTATTTTAACAATATATATACAAGTGCCAAGAAACAAAACATAGAAAACTTTTTTAAGCAGCCTGCTCTCTATCAATTTTAACAACCCAGGAAGTTCTGCTTTTAATATTGTGATTTCACTAATTGCTTTTTTAAGAGGTACTCACTTAACTTATGAACAGTATGATGTTTTGAAACAGCTATTTGTGGGATAATATGGTTATTTCTCTACAACATTTCACTTCTAACAGTGAAACATCATCACGTACTTTTTTTTTCAAACTTCATATTTTTAGTAATATTGTGATCTGTAGCTACCTAAGATTTACCTGATGTTTATGTTTGATATTAGTGTAGTTTTGATTACAAAAAGAAAGAAATACAAATTATAGTGTTGGGAGCAACAAAGTTCCAATTTGTTTCAAGAGATTTCAAGACACCATGTGAGATCTTCCTAGTGTATCTGGCTTACCAGCATTACTGGAACACAACACATATATGTTATCTATTTCTATTGGAGATTATAGAAAATAAAGAATATTTGAAGTTATTCCTGTGGTTAGTGATATTTAGTTACATTGGTTAAATGGATTACCAAAAGATTATATAGAAATTTAAAATTAGGGCTTTCCTCAGAAAATGGTTAATTTTAATGTCATAGTTGTGAAGTCAATCTTAGCATGCTCAGTGTTTGATATTTTATTCATGGTTTAATCTGTTGTGACCTTGGCTGTACTTACACAGTCACTTGTTAAATATCAATTATAGTGCAATACTACACACGTAATTTGTTCTTTATCCACACATGGAACTACTGAGTTTTGGTATGGTCTCAGAATTGGTAATTTATATTTGTAAAAGCTGCATATCATATTACAAGATGTTTGAAAATAAAGCATTTAAAATAGTAATGTGTATTTTCCTCTAAAAGACTTTAGATAAACCAAAATAGTATGTATTACTATAATAACAAGAATACAGCAAGTTCAATAAACTTTTCTGTGAAAGTCAACTTTTTGAGCCACCCAAAAGCTGTTTTATACCTTTATTTAATTTTATTTTGGATGAAATATTGTTTCCTTTCAATAAGAAGTTCAACTTACTCAGAGATGTGGGCATGAAATCTAGGTATAAACACTGTAAGATCTTTTATGTTTTCAATGACAGAAGAAACTTAAAATATGTACCTCCAAAAGTAGCATATAGACAGATTGGTAGTCTGATGAAAAAGATACAAGAAAGCTTTGTACAAAGTTATTTAAGTCTATACATATTTGTTGACATTGTACTAAATACAGTTGTGGTCTTTCAGTAATGATAAAAATTTCACCAAATAATAGTATTTTAAAACATCATAAACACAAAGATTGATAGTGAGTGAAGAGTTTCAGTTCTTCCAACATAGTAGGTATAGATATATTCATGTTTGTTTTTCATCATGATGATTTCTGTTATTGTATTTTACAGGTCCATGCAAAAAAAATACTTGGAGAAGTTACAGCTTCACTGATGATTCAAGTATGTATTATCTCCATAAGACCTTTTCATTTTCATTTCCTGCTTAGTGTAGTGCTTCTATTTATATGTGAAAAACAAATCTACCAACTTATAAAAATTGTGATTATGTTAACCTGTTCTTATATAGTTATATGGGTGATTTTACCTTGATATTGCTGAAAACATAAATTTAATAAATCTTTCACAACAATCTTCTTCATTTATCATATATTTTAAATCCCTGACAATGTTAATTTTTGTGATTAAAATTATTCAGTTTCACGCATAATAACTAAAAATATTACACTGTAATTTTAAAGCAAAATTTAACAATGTGGCTGCAATGAATTGCACTTGGCTTTTAAAGTGATGAAAGACTTTCATCTACACTAGTAGCTATTTTAAATCGAGATTTAAAGTATATTATTACTGTAATTCACTGCTGCAAAAATATTTGAATACATAATTCAAATTTCACTTGTGAACCGTAAACTTTAATTAGATTAAGAAATATAATGTTTACTTGAGAAATTTTCTCATAGTTATGTAATAATCATATTTTCACCTCAAGTATTCACAATACAGATGAGCTTTATATTGGCCATTCAGCACCTGGAGACTGTTTATAGATTAACTGTGTTGAAAAATCAAATATTTAAATTGGTACTTTCAGGCTGTGACTAAAGAAACAGAGTTACCTCGTGCATATCAACATACCAACATTCCTGTTAATCAGATCAAGAGTTTGTTGTTCCTGTGTCTTTGTGATCCAAATTTTCCAGCTTTTGTAAGACAAGTACAAAAAGCTCTTCATGAAATTAAAGAAATGGAATGATGAATATTGTTTCTATTTGTTAAGTAGTTTGAGTATTAAAAATCATTTGTTGTTTATAAAAATTTTTATTGGGTTAAGTACAAAAAAAGTTTAGTGAAAGTGGAATAGTAAAATATCTTCACTGGTTGTAAGGTTGTTTGTTGGATAAAAAAAATTTTAATTTCATTATTGTTTCATGTTTGTTAAAATCCAGCATTAACAGCAACAGAAAGATCAATACATTCTATATAAATGTAACACTAGTTTTATCATGTATAAAAATACATAGTGGATGGCTTTTATAGTTTTAGCAACATATTTCAGACTTGTCAGATATTTCTTTGGCAATTTGTGATTTACTCTAGATAAAAAGAGGACTAACAAGGGTAGCGACCAAAACTCAGTTTCATATTTAGTATTCAAGTAGTTTCTCGTTGAAATAAAAAAATGATTTTTAACACCTTTGTTCAGGTTAGTGAGGTCAATAGAAACAAAAGGTGGAAATTTACATTTTGTCCACTAATAGTTTCTGTTATGTGCAAAAAGAATTTTTTGTTGTTGTTGCAAAAGCAGGGGAGATGATAATAAAATGTCATGCTTCACATTATTAGTTTTCAAAATAATATTAAAGTAGAATCTACTACTGGAAAAGGCAAAAAAATACTGGAATTTCCTTATCTTTATACTATTATTTATGCCAAAGCCTTTAGATATTTAGACAAAGGTCAAAAAAAGATATAGGAGTATAAAATAATGTAGCACTACGAATATAAAACGAAAACCCTTCGTAAGAAAGTCCACTTCCATATTTTAATTCTCCTCAACTTATGTTGTTTAGACATTTTGATGTGTCTTGAAGTACTGTTTATAAAATGTATTTCTGTCAAAATATACTTCAAACACTCAAAACTGTAGATATGGCATTATGGTAAATGATGAGAAATTTTATTTTTCATAAATAATATAAAAATTTTATAATGTCTTATTTGTATGTGTCTGAATCATTACAGCACTCTCTCTGTATAAAATGTTAATGTTTGCATTTTGTTTTTGCTTTCAGTTGACCCTATAAACCTAAAATTGGTGTAAAAAATATTTTTTTGTTTTTTTTGTATTTCAATGAGATACCACTTGAATATTGACTTTTGTTTACTGATGTTTGCAGTCCTCCTTTCAAGGTGTTTTTGTTCTAAGAATTTTTTTATTAACAATTACTGCTGTTTTTTACATTTGAGAGTGAACTATTGATTTATTTTTCCTGAACAATATATTGTATCCAAATTTCCATCTGCATTAGTTTCGGCTGTGTGATATTCAAACATATTTTCATTTTTAGTGTTAAATCAGTCCATTTATTGGATTTAACTATCTACTGTCTCAACTCAGTGCTCAAAACTGGATTGCATAATGGTATTATTCAGTGATGGGCAATATAATAATAACTTGACACCATTTAGAGTCAAATAAACTCCAGTAGCTTATGCATTTGGTATTTAGTGATATTCTTCTTCAAACACTTTATCTTCTTCGTGTTTGTTTCAGTTTTTTATTCAGTAAACTCCTTATTCGTCAAAGCAGTGTAAACCAGCTTCAAATATGTTCATGAATGTACTTTATATGTTTCAATAAGAAACATCATTTGAAATATAGTTTTAGAAAGACATGTATTATATGCTTGTTCTTGCATAACCACCTCTGTTGACACTAATAACAGTATGTTACACTTTGTGTCTATGACATGAAATTGGTTTGTATGACAGAACTGTTATTTTATTAGTTTGGACAATAATTAATATACAGGAATTGAACTCAGCAGACAGACCATGAAAAGTACAGAGGGATGGTGGGGGAACATAAAGGTAATATTACACAACTAATCACTACATTCACTACTGTTTTAGGTAAACAGTATTATGATACATATATTAAATACAATACAATATGTTAACCACTAAATTTGAATATTTTACATTATCAAACTTTTAAATTGAAATTCTTAAACCTGTGAAAGCTATCCACTATTCCAAAGAAAAATTACAAAGCTTATGAATATTATCAACCATTGTAGATATAGTTTGAGACCAAAAATAATAAGAAATATTTAAAATTATTATGTTTACATACATAGCTGTAAATATTGCACCAGCATAAATCTATCAGGATTATAATCAAAAAAGTCACAAAATTATTGAAAGTTCCTCTCATTGACAGAAAAACCTGAAGAATGATATTCATATACAATAAGGTACATATAAAAAAAACAGGCTTTGAACCACACAATCATAAAAACAAGAAAACAAATGTCTTTTTACTGTAAATATTAAAATAATGGTGTTTGTGTATTTCTTTACTTTAAAGGAAGATTCTAGTCCAGACCATTTTCCTTTTAAATTAATAACCATCTAATTAAAAAAAAAAAAGACATTTAACTGAATATCATGTAGAAAGTTAACAACTCATTTGCCAATGAGCTTGGGCATGGTTTGGTGGTTAAAGCACTTGACTCATAATTTGAGAGTCACGGGTTAAAGTCACAGTCACCGAACATGCTCAACCTTTCAGTGACAGCATTATGATGTGATAGTCAATCCCACTATTTGTTGGTAAAAGAGTTGCCCAAGAATTGGTGGTAGGTTGTGTTGACTAGCTGCTTTCCCTCTAGTCTATCACTGCTAAATTAGATATCGCTAGCACAGATAGCTTTCATTTAGCTTTGCACAAAATTCAAACCAAACCATTTGCCAATGACTTAGCTGTGGACAAATCCAAAAACAGTTGGCCTGGTGATTGGAGACTGCCAAACATACCCCTAACAAATGTTATATTGAATCTGATTATTGAAACCAGTTTCACTAGTCCTCAAAATTGGTGATGACGTACAACAAAGCTGTGGCAATTTAAAAAAATGTTATGTATGACTTGAAACAAAAAAAAGGAAATGCTGCCATAAAAAATACTCCTAAATATTATTTTCCATTGATTTCCTAATTTTTTGTATGAATAACATTGAACATTTAGATGCTATACAAAATTAGTCTCTCAGTGGGTCATCAGTAAGCCTACAGACTTAGAATGCTGAAGTCAGGAGTTTGATTTTCCATGTTGTAGAGAGTGTAGATAGTCTATTTTTAGCGTGGCTCTAAAACAAACCACACAATATTAAAACTTCTGGTCAATATCTAAAGAAGTTAACGATACAACAAATGGTATAACATGAAGCATAGTTTCGTCTATTCAAGGTTCATCAGCACAGCTTGGGTCAGCAAACCAAAGTATAGTTAGGCCTCTTATAATGGTGATATGTATATAATACTTATGTGGTTTTTTAGTCATTTTAAATCACCATTCAGTAACCTAAATAACCATTATAAGAGGCCTAACTGTATTTCTTTGGTTTGCTGATCAAGGCTGTGTTGATTAGTCTTGAACGGGCAAAACTGCAGTCCACAGCAGAGGGTACAACTGATCAAGGAATGCATTAGGCCTCTACATCACAGATTCTATTTCTAATTTTACCTTTGAAAAATAAAATAAGTATGTAACACACACATATATATATATACAATTATTAAACAGTTGGTCCACTACATAATATAATGAAATAGGTGCAAAATTCTAACATTATTCACACACCTCAGTTAATTTAGGTTACTGTAAGGTGATTTAAAAGGACCCAAAAAACCCAAATGGTGTAACAAACCAATGCAAGTGTGAAAATTGTTTTAATATGGTTGCACCATGTTTGGAAGCTGTCAGTTGACAGTTTTATTACCCAGTGATTTATTATTATTAACTCAAATCTTCTGATGCATGTTTGAGTTACACTTTGTGATGGCTTGCAATATGGGACTGAAGACGGTAGAAACTTTTAAAAGTAATGACACTAAAATGGTTAAATGTTTATGCTCTTTTTAAATATGTTATTTATTCATTTGTTTACTGTCAGTTAACAAATATATTAATCTTTGTATGGATCTTACCTATTTGAAAAGATTGAAGGAAACAGAAGTTCTGGAAGTAGTTCTATGCTCACCAACTTTACAGGGATTGTTGATCTTACTAGAGTGGTAGAACCATTTTATATCTGTTTCATATAATTATTTTTTAACAGGTTTAAATGTTTTTAAAAGTTAATTATTAATATTTTTTTATTTGTACTTAATTCTTATTAATAAAATTTATCTTTTCAAAACTGATGAATTCTGTTAGCTTCTACAAATGTGGCAAATACCTTCATAAACACTATATATTACATTATGTGTGTGTCAGAAAAATAAAAGCATATTCTTTACCACTGCTCTTCACATTCACACTTCTCTGCAAGTTGCTTGATTTTCTTAATCTGTACAGGCCCTTTTTGCTCTTTTGTAGTCAGGTTCCTTCTCCTTACATTTATAAATGTATATCGTTTTGTATTATTGATTTTGCAACAAAGTCTACATTTTCATTAATATCTAAATTGTTTTATTTAACATATTTTTTATGGCCCCAAGTTGTACCTTTTTGCCCTTCATTCCTTTCTACTATGTGAATAGTATTTCTTGTTTGATATAGAATGGTGAGAATTATTGGGAAGATTGTGTGTGCTAAAATAATAAGATGATAATTGATGGTGATCAAATTCATCAGTAATTATTGCAGTGGAGCTTTTTTAGTACCCACACATTAAAATTATCTCAACTGCATCATGTGACATAAACAATTAGTCCTGTCTCAAGAGTTCATCTAGCTGCCTGAGATACGACAGACATTTATATGAACTAGATTAAGTTGGTAAGCTGTAATTTTTATCAAATATACTTGTGTCATTACACATCAGAATTTGGTTTGAGTGTTTTTAAGATGTGGAGTAAGTCGTTAACTGAGTAATTGGGTAATTCTTGCTTGAGCAATAGAAAATTTCTTTGCCAATTGCAAGGAGAGAATAGTATCAACTAAATTTTATGGACTTTTAAAATAGATGAAAGGCTTTACTTTTCTGTCAAAATATTGCTTGTACAAGGATGTGCTGGATGCATGTTCTATTATATGTATGCAGTTTGAAAAAAAAATCAGATATGCTATCAGGTACTGCCTATGGTAGAAAAAGTAAAGGTTGCCATAAGGAACTCAAGGAAGAAACTTCAGGTATACATTGTGAAAACCATTTGAAAAGTTCAAATTTAAACTGGAAATAAAATTGGGCTCCAAGCATTTTAAGAGCACTTTGCTTAAAGCAGGACACCAGAAAAAGAAAGAAAGAAAATGGGGAATATACTGTTATTGTCACATACAGTCTAATGAACAATGTATACTGTGCTGAGAAAACTGTTGACAAACTGAGAACTACAGTTCTTCCAAGACAGGTATGTGTTGAATCAAGATGCTTGACATTTGAGAGTGAATTTTGTTAAAGTATGTTTTGGATAGATACAGCAAACTAAAGTTCTCACTGGGGAAATTGATCTTTAAATTTACTTGCAGAGCATTTTTATGAGATACTAAAAATGAAAAATTTTGATAAAATTACCATAACCTCAGAATGGAGTCAAAACTAAGGATCTCTGGAAGTGTATGCTTCTATACAGAAGGAACTTAAGAATGTTTGTATGATGGTGGAAACAATGCTCTGCATAGGACCCAGTAATAGTGTCATTGAGGCAAAGTTTAGTTACCTTACCCACATGCTCACTGAAAAAGGCTTTGTTTGAAACATGCAGCTTTGGAACATTTTCTAGTGGTTAAAACAAATGATTTTGTATGGACACATGAGGAAAAGGAACAAATATTAGAAGCAGCCATAGAGAAGTGTATGGCAAAAAGAAGAAAAAGGAAATTTGATACAAATCCTCATATGTCTATAGAATATGCAGCCAAGAAATGGAAGTCACACATGTACAATGAAACTGAACTTGATTCTGTTGGTAATGAAGATTGAAGTGATTATAGAGATCATGATGAGGATGATTCTGATTCTATCACATCTAATAGATCAAGTGATGAGACTGAAACAATCGAGATTCCTTTTTCAAGAACTAATTGCACAGGAATCATCTGATGTCGACACTGCTGATGGGGGTCATTCTCCTGTACACAGTGTATGTGAGGATAGTGATTGAATATGCTTCACAAGCTAACAGTTAAACATAAACAGAACAAAGGATGTTAGTACATATAAATGACTGTGCAGAGTAGATTTACTTTAAATTAACTTGATTTTTTTTTTATGAAATGTGTGTGTATGCAAGTTTGTGACTTAATTTTTTGAATGAATAATGAAACTGATGTTTTATTTCCTATTAAAAATTTAAATACCATTGTACTATTTTCTGTAAGTTACAAAATAGTAATTATCATATGATTTTAGTCAAGAGGCTATGTGTCAGACTTTAAGATTATAACCTTAATTTTTCCAATTTTACTGAATATAAAAATGTTATAGATTGTTACTTTGTTTATTCATCAAGTTAGTATTCCAGGCCTTATATTTGCCTCCTTCCCTTACTTTGCCCTTGAAATACAACCACAGGTTCATTTAGTTGAAAAACAGTACAATTCAGTCAATACAAATTATCTTTTATTGTCCAGTTTTTGTAAACAAAAAATAGACGTACATCATCAGCCCGTTAACAGTCTCCATGTACTGTTTGACGAGCAATGTTTATAGTCCTCGTGAATTTTTCAAATGTAAGGGTCTGCTTTCCCCTAGTTGTACAAAAACCAATATACCTTTATTAAGAGGTATTATACACCTCTTACTTAGTTGTACAAAAGTACGTGTACCTTCCATCTCTTTGTGCAAGAACTAGTAAGTACCTGTTCCACAGTGGTAGAAGAATTACTATATCTTTTATCTAGTACAAGAATTGTCACGCCCATCACGGCTAATTGTTTAACACTATAAACATTCCAAATAGTATTTTGGAAATACCATAACCCATCAGTTATTTCTACAAGATCCACACTTCTAAATATGAAGTGTCGTACACTTTACTCACCTAATTGAACAATAATTAGTACACCTCTCACTTGTTCGCACAAGAACTGTAATACAGACCAACTTAGTTGTACGAGCATGTTTCACAATGGGTTTTTTTTTAAACAAGAATTCTCTTCTCACCGAGTTTTAAAAAATCAACATTAGTACTTCTTATTTAGTTGTTCAAGAACTAGTAAACGTTTACCTCTCATATACATAGTTCTATACACATCCATATTTTCCCTACCTTGTACAAACGCTATTAATATTACGCTTTTCACCTACTTTAGAAGAACTATGTAGTATCAGTAATCAAGACACATGATAGTGTGTCATATGGCCAAATCAATCTGCAGGACACACCGTGTGTTGCAGCAGAACCTCTATTAACGGCCGCGCCATTAAGGGCAGACCTCTTTTGTCTGTTCTTTGTAACCAAAATAAATCTTGCAGTAACGGTCACCCAACTATTCCAGATTAAGGGTAGTGCCTTTAGTCTTGTTCTCTATACGGGCACTCGATAAAGGGGGCAGTTGTCTTTGTATGCTTGTACAGTATACTGCTAAATTCCAGCTTACTATAGAGAGCATTTGGATACAGTCGGAAGGGTGCCCTTAATGTTGAGGTTCTACTGTGTAAATGCAACTAAAACCATCATGCTCAACAGAAAAATAACACGTAAATGAAAGACATTCGTAAAAGTAAAATTGTTTGGCACCGACTTGAGCTTCTCGGAAACAACCAAAAAGTATAAGAATTATATTAAATAGCAAACTAACCTGGTCACTGTCTCAGAAAGATAGGGGCATAGCCAAAGGCTGCCGAACCAGTGCAGTTAATTATGTCCATCTACAAAGCATTCATATGCCTGATAATAGAATATGGTGACAGCCAATATGGCACATATACAATGTAGCAATATTCAAACAGCTCAAAATCAAGCAATCAGAATAGTTTTCCGGCTTCCACAATACACTCCTTCTGAATATCTAGAAAAAATCAATAAAATACCAAATGTCAGAAAACGAATAACAACTCTTGCAAGGAAATCAGTCAGGCAAACAGAGTTAACCAGACAATTTCTGTCATTAGCCACCACCACTGAATCTTGATAATTGTACAACTCAACATTCAACACTATATACGCTCTGAATGTTTGACCATACATGTGATCTTTTTTTACAGCAATGGGCATTAGTGGGATAGAATATTCGGCGCTCTACCAGTGAAAGTGGGTTTTCTCGGGTACCCCCGTTTTTCCCTCACATCTAAATCAAACAGGGTATTGGATCTATAGATCCCCCCCCCCGTTTATATTAAATACGAAATAAAACTTAATAACGAAGAAATATATTCCAGAAACATGGTGAAACTACAAATATCATTTTCAGGAGACTTGGTATCTACATGACATTGAGAGATTAACAAAATACAATTACTTTAAAAATACAATGTTGAAATAGCTAGATAATATAAATGATTTTCATATAGTAATTTTATTTTATTGTAAAACACAAAATAACCTTTTGGTAATGCACAGAAAAAGAAAAATGAA